AAGCGCATGTATAGTGTATGTAACAAGTATAATAGAAACACTTTGAATACTAAGTGATATTTTATTGCATTTCAACATTCTTCCTGTAGTTGAATATTTACATTTCGCTTTTACGAACACCCAAAGACAATACCAGTATATCAATAGTATCATATTAATGGTCATGGCCGTATTTCAACCATCTTGCTTTCACTATTCATTGGCAAAATTTACACATGATATAAACGGTTAATTCACAACCCTCAGTCTCCCAGCAAATCTTTTGAAAGCACCACAATTTTAGAAACGTACGGCATGGTAGCAAACTGTATAGCAAAGCCATAGGTCTACGTTTACCCTGTTCTTGATGGAACATGTTTCCAGAATGGCATGGCATGTACTATTCTCAGGGTAAAACACCACATTTTCTCACAGAAACCATTGCACAATGTGCTTGGGACAGGATCTGCGCTATTTCAAAGTTTTTTTTATTTGTTTTTTTTTTGGTTAAGAAATCGATCCTTGACGGGGGTAGGGGGGGGAGTAAGGTATGGGCAGAGGCTTAACAAAAAAAAGGAGGGGGGCTACACAAATCGGTGCTCTGGATAGGGGTTGTCCATAAAGGACGTCCCCACAACAAACTTACCTTTTGCGTCCCCCCAACCCGGAGAGGGGAGGTGCTGATTTACGTCTGCATTTTTTACTAATGTGTAATGCCAATGTAAAACTAATTCAATGATATTTAATTATTGACAAAAGACTTTTAAAAATCACTGCAGTGTTTTGTATTGATCATCATACAGTTGATTCGTGTTGAAAATCGTTTGATATCATAATGACTATGCCTCAGATAACTTTAACTTCACGATTTCATGATCAATGTATGTGATTCATTTCCCGTAATGTATTTGTGGCGTAATATATCTTGGTGCTAACAAAATAGATACACTGACTTCCTATTCATTTTTACACCACGCCCGAGGGATCACATACAATGTTATAATTATAATCCCCCCCCCCCCCAAAAAAAACTGGGGGGGGGGGGGATAATTTCAA